TTTAAAAACTGTACTTTTGAGTTAAAATATATATTTATAATTTTAATAAATGACAAATTAAAAAAGCATGAACATTTTTGTATCGAAAAAATATCGAACCGTGACACCAAAGTATCGAACCGAACCGTGAAGTTTGTGTAGCGTTGCACCCCTAATATATATGATTAGTGTATTACAGTAAGCAAACTAATCCAACTCCTAAGTAACTTTTTAAAGGAAGAGAACAGGATTAGTAGCTAAACTCTGGGTACTGCTATGTTAGAAAATGATGACTCTGTGTTGAGGTGCATTCTGCATGGCTTCCAACACTCAGCTGTTCGTTCTGTAATTTCACTACAGATCCCAGACCTGCACAGGAAGCAAATGTCATCACATTTCAGCGTTTTAGTCTCCAGCTAAGACTTGGTCATTTTCACTAGTTTTAAGTTAAAGAAGTCCAGTTTGACACCAGGACCGTCTTTTTTGGGATCTGTGAATTTGCCTCCTGTCTCGAGGTATTTGAGAGTAAGAACATGCAGATCTGAACCACCTATCTACGTTCCTAAAGTAATTCACGTCTCATCTGAAAGGCGTCTTCAGTCCTACCAACTGATGGGACGTCCCTGGCCTCAAGTGGCTCCCATCAGTTTGTCATGTGTTCGTCACCAACATCCCAGTTGGGATTTTACTGTGTCAGTTAAAGCTGACATCAGCGTGGAAATAAAACGTGTCTGGGAACAACTGCAGAGTAGGCGGAGTTTTCTCACAAAGGACACGGCATCTCTTCATCAACAGCCAATCACAAGTACTTCCTGTTTCCATGTGTCTAATATATGCTTTGAATTATGAGTTGTACTTCACTGCTCTGTGTTCAGCGAGATTTAAGTCCACAGATATGTGACTTGAATCTTTAAGCGCCTGATAATAAAATAGTGCTAGGTTGTCTCATGTGCGTCTCTCAGTAGAGCACAGTTGTCACTTTGAAGGTAGATGTGAGATATATGTGGTCAGGGAGCCCCGTCAGCTGTTAGAAACATGCGTTTCAGATGAGAGCTCTTCAACAACTAACAAACAAGTCCCATCTCCTCAAGCCCTTAGACTACCACGGCCTAGATGGGAATGTAGACAATCTGAATGATATTGTGTGCCAGTGTGGTGCTGCTTATTGTGGTTGCACCAGCACAACCTTTGCTCAGTGCTTCTACCAGCTGTAGGTTTGGCCCCTTGGCTCGGGGACAACATGTAGGAAAACACTGTCCCGTTTTGGTACATGCTCAGTACCATTGGCCTGGATTTACAAAGACACACATGTACACACTGAAGCTCTGACATTTGAAAAGGACTTTTTAGCCCTCCTATCTGACGTTTTCCCTTCTTTCTAGCTCTGTCAGATGAAGCGGGATATTTCTTCTTCAATGGGAACACTGTGTTTGACAATCCTCAGAATTTCCACGTGGCAGGAACAGTGTTCAAGTACCGACGTCCAAGCGTCGTGTTGTCTGATGGGTTGGAATACATCATTGCCCAGGGACCCACTCTGCAGGGTCTTAATGTTATGGTAGTACAGGAACACACACACACACACACACACACACACACACAC